ACACAATAATATTTATTTAAATTTAAATGTAAATTTTTATAAAGCCATTAATTGGTGCTTATGAGATTTAACTATTTAAATAAAAGTTGAATGACAAAAAGACACAATGCACATCAGCTATTTGTTCAACATTGTTTATGATTAATAATAAATTATAATTTTCCTTAAACAATTCTTTGGAAGTTGGTAATTGACTTTGATTAGCCTTTAAGGCTCAGGTCATGATGTTTGTGTTAAAGTTTATATTTTGTTGACATTTTCTTTCGATTTTCTCTCCCTCAGATTTACAGTGGTTTGTTGTGATGCCAAAGCAAGCCAGGAATGGTCAAATAACTTTAAGCAACAATTTGACTAATCCACATTAAATAACATTTTTGTGAACTTTACACCTACATAAATTGTACACCCTTGATAAAATGACTTTCATTAAAAATGGGGTTTGGTGCTGAGTCGGTCACTGTGCCACTTTTAACAAGCACAGTGTTGAAAATAAACGTAGATTTGACATTGTTTTTAAAGCTAATGTTAGAAAAATACTAATGAGCCGGCAATTTAATATTATCATGTAAAGAACAAAACGGCTGAAAATGTTCAGTGTAATCTCTTAGCTTTGACGTGTCATGAAATTCTTATCAATATGTTTTCAATAAATTTTTATAGTTTGTTTATTTCCTGAAAAGGGTATATAATTTATATCACTTAACTTATAAGCAAATGAAAATATTTTTCATTAAATATTTGCACTGAAAAAAAAATAGTTCATTAACTTATTGTTTCCTCATCATTTTACTTTCCTGCCGAGTTACTTGAGATAATCTGAAATTAGTCCTTGACAATGGGTTCCTGCAAACATTCATTCTGGATCTGCTATATTCCTCACAAAATTTGAAATGGCACAATTTTGATTTCTTCAAAATATGAAAACTTGACCAAATTGATGCTCCAGAGGATTTCCATGTAATAATTTTATTAGCACCTTATAAAATTCATTTAAATGTGGCAGTAGTATAAAGATAATATGGAATTTAATGTATCTATTTATAACTACATTTGTAAAAAGTTAATTTCTAAATCTGTTATTTCATAACGTTCTATTTTGATTTAAAACATAAATATTTTACCTTTAAATGTCTTGTAAGTCTGAATTCAGGCTTAGAAAGTGTTACAATGTTCACAAGGCAGCTGCTTAAGAAAGGCATGGCATATTCAAATGGCAATTGAATTTTAAAAAAATATATCATCAAAATAAAAACGTACACAATTTTTTTGTTACTTTTCCAAGTCAAAATAGAATGACCACAATGATCTGAATTGAGCCACTAGTGTTTATTGCAGGTAGTGTGCAATAGCAATTTTTTCCTTGGGAATAACATTTCAAATTTTCTTGTCATTAAATGCAACACTCTGATCTCCTTTGGAGTTATCATGTTTTTTCAGATCATCAGAAGAGAAAATCTGAAACTGCACTAAGAACATTACAAGAAGCTTTGCCTGTTGTACTTTTGTGTCACTGTCCTTATATACAGTCATTTAGGAATGATTGTTCCTTTTGGGAAGAGCTGCAGTACATTTTGAAGACTATTACTGTTTTCTTCCTGTAAGTTTAAATTGCATCTTTTTAATTTTTAATTATACGACTGGCAAAGTGGCACAGGCTTGTGTTTCAAACTCTTCTTGTATCAACATTTATATTTATAGACTTTAAGATGTAAAATTTATTTGAAATAAATTAAGGCACGAATGAATCTTGTAATATTAAAAAATTTCAGGATGTCTGTCAAACATTGTTTGCATAACTGAAAGTGATCTCTCTTGAGAGTTTATTCTGTAGGTTAACTAAGGGAAAGAGTTTAGTCTGTAGGTTAACTAAGGAAAAGAGTTTAATGTGCATGTTAACTGAAGGAAAGAGTCTAGTCTGTAAGTTAACTAAGGGAAAATGAGACTTTTTCAAAACTAATTGATTAATGCATGTGATTTGAAATTTAACAGTTCAGCCATTCAACCCTGAACCTGGCCAAAAATGAATTTTAGCGAGTTGTTGCAAATGACATTTGTTGTTCTTTGAAGATATTGTATATTTTTGTCCCCTTGTGACAAACGGTAAATAAATAGGATTTTCCAATTCATTTTAACTGTGACTCATAAATAAATTATGAGGACATGATTTCTCATCCTTAGTAATTGTGACGTATGTTTGAGACTTTGAGTTGGTTGTTTTCTCAGATGTCAGTTCCATCTGTATATAAATGCCATTTGTATATAAATGCTTTATTTATTTCCCTGCCATCGCTTCACACGTTAATTACTTGGCTCTTAAAAATAAAACTAATAAAATTGAATACGTTCAAGGCAAACTAGTTTGGTAAAGACAAGCCACAATCAGGTTGATCAATTTTTAGTTCAATGTTTCTTTTAAGTCGATTACAAAGATGAGCTTGTAAAAACCAATCTATTTGAAACATTTTTACCACAATATAAATTTTTGTGTGTTTACTTGAAGTTAAAAATGTTGAAATATGTGTTAGCTCATGAAGTGGCTATCTATCCATATTATGTGTTAGCTCATGAAGTGGCTTGGTTAAGTGGCTATCAACATGAACTTTTTCTTTTATTTAAAGAATATAACTGTTTAACCTGTCCTCATTACATGTACGTAACCTAATTTGTACTTGTGTCATACAGTCATTTCTAGCCTTGCTGATTGTATTCTCAGATAATGTAATACTGGAGTTTTACTTTTGTAGGTTTGTATATATATATACTTAATATTTTGTTTATCATTAGTTTGTACATAAAGTCACCTAAGAAATTGAACTAGAAATGTTATTTTTTTAAAAATCCTCATCACTAGTTCACCAGTCCTGATCCAGTGAGGCATGTATCGGTCGGTCAGAAATAGGAGATATTTTGTTTGCAATGCCATCAGCAGTCAGGTGGTTGCAGGTGTTGTGTTTGTTGTTCTGGCGTTAGACAGCATTATTCTGGTGTTGATATAAAGGGTTTGAGTGATTAAATGGCCTCAGTATTCTGTTGGTAAACATCAGTGGGTTGCCCCGGGGCATGGCCTGCGGAGCTTGTTTAAGAGAAATTCTAATGGCAAGTTATTGCTTTTTGCCTGTGATAAGACACCACTGTAATGTGTTGCTTATGTATAGAAATGAGATATTGGACAGAAATGAAGATATTGGACAGTTTCACTGTCACTGAAAAATCACAAAAAAAGATATTTTAATTCTACACTGTATTTAACATTTAAAAAAAACAACAACATGATCTTTTATTTGATGTATACTTTTCCCCCCTGATTATTATATTTTGGTTTTATTTTATTATTTCATGATTTTCTCATTGGCTGTCCAGTGACTTGTTTTTGTAGCCCCCGAATGACTATATTTCCAATTGTATAATATAGCACGCGTGTTGTGTTGATAACAATAGTTGCTTGCAGTTCATACTTTGATTAGGTTGCTTTAGTTTTGCTCATGTTGTCTTTACTGTCTTGTTTACATTATTTAATGAACTATAAGATCAGGGATTGAAATTATCATTAAGATGTGTTTGCTTTTGTGTATTGTAATCGAGTAGGTGCAGGAAGATAAATCCTGCCATGGTTAATGAGAGATGATGACGTGACTAAAACAAAGCTCTGCTAAGAGTGTTGTGGCCCACATAAGAGCATGTAATATTCGAAGGTATGAGGAAAGTAGATGTCATTCATAAAGTTTGATGCAAAGGAAAGTTACAATTGTTGCAACATAACATATTCAGGACATCAGTCATTTTAGGAAATGTATTGTTAAATGCAAGTGCATTTATTTGCTGAACACTTACCAGTGTGCAGAAGAAAACTTAAAAATCAAAATTTCGCATTAGATTTCTTTCTTTTCCTGCGCAAAACTTTAAAAAAAAAACACTCCTGGAACATTTTGATGAAAACATTGTATGAAATTCTGTTTACTATCTGAATTTATTTTACAATGCTTAAAGAAAATGAATCCTATTGTAAATTTCACCATAAGAAAAAACAACTTGCCTTAAGTCAAAGATTGTGCACTGTGATGAGCTAGCATTGATATTAAAACTACCATCCCAATCACGATCATTATAACATCATCATCCAACTAGGCAAATCAATGCAATATTATTTTTATATTAATTATAGCTCAAATCCATTCATTGGATTTTATGCAGAAATAAGTGTCACTTCTACCTTTCAAGCTCTAGAAAATTCAGTGGAAAGGCTCCTGGTTTCTACATTCAATCCAAAGAGTTAGGATAAGCTTCAATGCAGATCTACCTCATGACTGTCCAACATAAAGTCAGATCATGCATCCAACATCATACAAGAGCATTGTATCAGTTCAGCACTTATTGCTCAAGTGCTAGCTATAATTTATTATAACATCTCCCACCAAACTGAGAATTACATGGGCACATGAGGATTACAAGACTGATGATTGATTTTGTATGTAGTAAAAGTATTTATTTGATATAAATGGTCTGTTTCCATCTTCATCTGACCACTATCAGTATTGGAAACCTTTGAGAAGTAGAACTCGAGCTCAGTGCTGGAATTATAACTTTCTTTTAAAAGCTGTTTTTAAATGACATAGATTTGGGACAAATTTTGAAACTATCTCAATATCTGTGCTTCAGTAATCCAAATTTGTTGTTCTATAAATATGGTCTTCATAGAAGATATATTATTCTCTTTCTCAACAGGAATTAAGTTGAAGGGAATAAAAAAAAGCTCTCTTTAAAACTTTATTTTTATCCTTTGTACAGATAATTTTGAAATATATTCCATTTCCTATTTACAGTAGATTACTTCTGGCATTTCTCTTATCATTGTTGATGCAAATGTAATCTTAAATGGGTTTTTTTTGTGGTGGCTAGATGTACGTTTTTATGTTAACAATAAACACAAAATTTTAAAAAATGGCATCTGTTTTATGAATGAAAATAAGCACAAGTGAAAAAAGTGACTAATCTGACTGATATTTTTTATATTTTTATTGCAATAAGCTCCAAACATCAATCGTATGTGTCACCTGCTCAGACGCATTAGAAATGCATGCCTGGAATCTTTACAGTTAAGTGGGAAATATTTGTGGTAAAAGTTGAGGATGAGTTCCTGGCATTTGAATCCAAACTTCTGATACAACAGCATGGCAGGGTTAGTTGTTGATACATGGAGGAGGACATCTTTACCCATACAAGTCTGAAAAACACAGACAAAATATTCATTTATAAGTCTGCAGTGCTAAGACAAAAAAAATTAATTTTGAAAGTTTGCAGTACCATGAAATCATTAGAACAATATGATGCTCTAAATTCTGCAGTGGGATGTCAATATTCATTCAATTCTATTTCCGTGGGTGATAATTTCACTTCAATATTCATCTACCCTCTGACCTTTTAGATGTAATAATAATAAAGGTATTGAAAAATGAAGACTAGAAATTCAAAGTGATACACCAAATAAACAACAAACCTGAATAAGGTGGTATAGCATAAATGTTGCAATGCCCGCCCCCCTCCACTCAGGATGGGTAAAGATAAAAGAGATATAAGCTTCATTATAGCCACGATCAGGCACCATGAAAGCAAATGCAATTACAATTTTTCTGCAAAGAATAATACATTTTTAACATAAAAAAATAATACATCATTAACAAAACAAAAAACTTGAAAAAACTGCATCCCAAACAGTAAACCAGATAACTATTGAAAAAGAAAGTAAATGAAATAAGCTATATATGTTAAGTCTGACCTGTTAATAACTAAAGTATTACCTATTTAGGTTATAAAGATATGTTAGGTCTGACCTGTTTATAACTAAAGTATTTACCTATTTAGTTTATATAGATAAGTTAGATCTGACCTGTATATAACTAAAGTACTGGGTATTACCTATCTATAAGTTAGATCTGACCTGTATATCACTAAAGTACTGGGTATTACCTATCTATAAGTTAGATCTGACCTGTATATCACTAAAGTACTGGGTATTACCTATCTATAAGTTAGATCTGACCTGTATATAACTAAAGTACTGGGTATTACCTATCTATAAGTTAGATCTGACCTGTATATCACTAAAGTAGTACCTATTTAGGTTATAAAGGTATGTTAGGACTGACCTGTACAAAACAACACAACTAAAGTCTGGATACTGCAGACATTCAGACACTGAAATACAAATTAATAAACGTCAAGTCAGTGACATGTTGATAACACCGCAATATGTGCTTTGTCAGCAGTCAATTGTCAGTTTGTGATATGTTGGTAGTCATATTCCAGTCTGTGATAAGTTTGTAGTCATATTCCAGTCTGTGATATGTTTGTCGTCATATTCCAGTCTGTGATATGTTGGTCGTCATATTCCAGTCTGTGATATGTCATCAGTGAATTGAATAATATGTCAGTTTGATATTTTGGCAGTGATATTTCAGTACCGGTAGTAATATGTCAGTATGTTGTCTTATTTTTTTACCTGATCGTTGGTAGAACTACTTTCTAACATAACTTACAATGAATAATTGTGCATTGTCTCACCAAGACTTCAGGCAGTCTTACCAATGTTAGCTATGTGTTATGGTTCTAATGCATTGTCTCACCAAGACTTAAGACAGTCCTACCAATGTTAAAAGCTATGTGTTATGGATCTAATGCATTGTCTCACCAAGACTTCAGGCAGTCCTAGCAGTTAAAGGCTATGTGTGTTCTGACTCATGTGTGGCTCAAGCAATTAATTTAAATAGATGCAACCAGTTTAGGAGAGATTTTTTATTTAATGATAAGTGATATGGCAAATGGTAATGCCTAGCAGGTATTTAGTAATGCCTAGCAGGTTGTTGGTTTTTCCTAGCAGGTTGTAGCAGGTTGGGGGTAATGCCTAGCAGGTTGGTGGTGATGACTATAGCTAGTTGGTGGTAATGCCTAGCAGGTTGTTGGTAATGACTAACAGGTTGCAGTGATGCCTTGCATGTTGGCAATACAAAATTCAATCTATGTATTCAACAAATAGATAAGCTAACAATGACTTGATGTTAACAATTGTATGGTAAACAAATAAAAGACGCAACTGCAACGCTTCCTGACAGATCAGACTTGCAGTAACTGAAAACAAAACTAAAGTTAGGAGAATAGATTCAAATAATAATAATAATAAAGTTCATTTCAAAAACACGCTTCATCCCCAAAGGCTCGAAGCGCTGTACAAAGTCAACAAAAAACAAATCTATAATTTACCACATTTAAAACAAACACAACACTTCAAAAACTAATTACAAGCATACAATCTCAAAGTCTTTCTAGCCATTTCAACCCTAAGCAACACAGCCATTATGCATTAACTGGAAAATAAGGTAGACAATCATCCCAGACGGTGTTTGCGAAATAGCACAGGAGTTGTAGCGATAAGAGGGAAAGCATTAGGAGCAGTGGATGATTTCACCTGTCTAGGAGGTTAGCGGTTAATACTATTAATGGTTAGTAAGGTTGGGTGATCAGAGGCAGATATCAAGGCTAGAATACAAGAGGAGTTTTGGTTTCACTTAAAAAATGTTTGGAACTCCAGTGTAAATAGGGAGAAAGACAAAAACAATCATTTAAAGTACAGGTAAAAGAAGAATATAGAGTTTCATAGAAACACCAAGCTTATGATCACTTGATGCTATTTTAATAACTCACTGTCAATCCCAGGCCAGAAGAACTCTCTGCACAAAGCGTTCACCGATGGGATGTGTTCTGGTCTAACATAGCAGTAGTCAATGGGAGGGGGGCTGGGTGCTGTCCAAGACGAATCCTTTCTGTGGACAACACATTTTGGAATAACATTCAAAACACAAGAAAGTTAGAAAAGTGCTAATAATGTATGCCTGGCGATTGAACTATTCAACAGTTTACCGGGAGTATTGTCACAATAGTTTAGCTGAAGCAATGTCACAATTGTACGATTTACCTGTGTGGATATGCTATAATTTCCTGTAGGAGTTTCATCTTGACTGGCCTTAGTTGTGGATTGCAATTGCGCCAAATGAAAGGAAGCAGGACTCTGAATAAATTTGAAGAAATGATATAGTGAAGCATAAATTTTTCTGGGTGTCTGGGTCAGTATATGGAACATTGACAATTCTGGGAATGGACTGAGAGTGTGGCTCTGGGAATGGACTGAGAGTGTGGCTCTGGGAATGGACTGAGAGTGTGGCATGTTCAGCTTCATGGGTTTAGGTAAAAGTTGAAAGTATTTAGGAACAGTGAATTGTTAGTGGTGTTTTGGTGCTGTGACATGGCATATGGTGCTGTGACATGGCGTATGGTGCTGTGACATGGCATATGGTGCTGTATGTCTTGAAATTACTTACCACTTTATTAATGGCATGGAGGCTAACTAACAACTTACCTAGTAGTATAGGGACTAACTAACCACTTACCTAGTGATATAGGCACTAACTAACCACTTACCTAGTGATATAGGCACTCACTAACCACTTACCTAGTGATATAGGCACTAACTAACCACTTACCTAGTGGTATAGGGACTAACCACTGGCTTCAATTCATGATCTTCCATACCAACAAGCCGCTGTCGGAAACTTGTGTAATTCCGAGACTCTGCTTTCTTGTCATTGACGTGCATCTGAAACCGTAAACATCAAATTAACCGAATGGCTTCTTTCTTTCATGTTTTCAATTGATAGATCTTAAAAGAACATGACTCTATAGATAGATCTTGAAAGAACATGACTCTATAGATAGATCTTAAAAGAACATGACTCTATAGATAGATCTTAAAAGAACATGACTATAGATAGATCTTAAAAGAACATGACTCTATAGATAGATCTTGAAAGAACATGACTCTATACATAGATCTTCAAAGAACATGACTCTATAGATAGATCTTCAAAGAACATGACTCTATACATAGATCTTCAAAGAACATGACTCTATAGATAGATCTTCAAAGAACATGACTCTATAGATAGATCTTAAAAGAACATGACTCTATAGATAGATCTTGAAAGAACATGACTCTATAGATGTTTAATTATCAGGTAACTCCATATACACCAACCCATGGGATCAGAACCTCAACAAATTCCATACTTGCCAACTTGTATCATCAAAAATGTGACCGAAAAATCCCCCCCCCCCTCCAAATCATTCACAACAACATGAAGAAAATGAAAAGTATAAAAAAAAAAAAAAATAAAATAACTCAAAAATTACTATAGATGTTTAATTATCAGGTAACTCCATATACCCCAACCCATGGGATCAGAACCTCAACAAATTCCATACTTGCCAACTTGTATCATCAAAAATGTGACCCAAAAATCCCCCCCCCCCTCCAAATCATGCACAACAACATGAAGAAAATGAAAAGTATAAAAAAAAAAAAGAGTAAAATCACTCAAAAATTTCATAGTAAATGTTTTAAATGAAGCCACTTTGAATTGCCTTGTTAAAAATGCCTGGCTTTGTTAATTTGGCACAATAATAAACTAGTGGTGCTCGTTTCCAGATTAAGTCAATCGGTTTGTGTTTCTATACATTATGGACATGATGGGGCTGAGAAGATAACGTCTCGAGACAGAGTTTCCTTTCACTGGCTTAAAGTTTTGTTTCCTGAAACTATTTGTCTTAAAATAAGTTTTTATGCATTCAAGTCGTAAGAGCCTGAAGTCTGAAGCAAGCACTTGACAGTCTATTTTTTGGGCCAAATGCCTGCAATGATACCACTGATTAAGTCTCAATCAATCCAAGGTATTCAGTCAGCGACTCACCAAGAAACTCCCCCCCCCCCCCCCCCCCCCCCCCCCCCCCCCAAACCCCCCCCCCCCCCCCACCCCACCACAGGTGTGTGTCTAATTACAACTTTCTTTACAAAACATTTTTCCTTCCCTCATTTAATTGGAACTATCCAGCTGGAGTAAAATAATAAATAAAAATGCATTTCTCACAGATTTAAATAACATATACTTATACAGCAGAGAAGATTGCAACAGTTTTCTAAATCTAAAGCTGTTGCAATCTACTTTGTTGTACCAGTATAAGTTATTTAAATCAGATCAGTGAGAAATGCATTTTTTAAATTTATTATTTGGCCTAACACGTAAAAGGAAGTAATGTCCTGGTAATGAATAGGCATAAGGACTAAAGCTATTCATTCTTAATGATGCTAAATATATTCAATTATTTAACAGAAATTAAAAGAACACTCACTCAAGGTACTGACACTGCAGTTCTTGCTACAAATTACAGAAAGCAATATGTGTCGTACTAATGGTTTAACACTCAAAGTACAGCACTGTCTTTGACCAAATGGTATCAATGATTATTGTGGAGATAGATAAAGGTCAGTGATATACCTCCCTCATATTCTATTTTTCGATGGTCTCCCAATTCCAAACTTTAGGCCAAAGGTCAATTTGAACAGACTAATAGGTTTCAAGTTCCCTTTTGAATTTATAGCACGGCCCTTTTTGTACGTTTGAATAAATATGTCTAAATCCTGTACAAAATGTTTAAATCCTGTAAAAAATGTTTGGATCCTGTAAAAAAAAAAAAGGAACAGATTCCTGTACGGTCGCACAAATAGAAAAAAATGAACATTAAAAAAAGTACAGGTAAACACTATCAGCATGCACAGGTAGCTGAGTCTTATCATAAAAATTACCCAGAGTGAGTACCAGGTAGCTCAGTCTCACCATAAATCTATCCAGATTAAAGTACCAGACAGCTCAGTCTTACCATAAATCTATACAGATTAAAGTACCCGACGGCTCAGTCTTACCATAAATCTATCCAGATTAAAGTACCAGACGGCTCAGTTTTACCATAAATCTATCCAGATTAAAGTACCAGACAGCTCAGTCTTACCATAAATCTATCCAGATCTCTAGTTTCTTTAATCTCGGATGACTTCAGTTTTGGAAAAAATGTTTTGTGGTTTTTTGACTGTATGAAAATAAAAGTAAGTCAATGAAAATGAAACAAGGTTGAGACAGATTGCATTAGAATTAGATAGAATTATACAATTAAACAGATTGCATTAGAATAAGATAGAATGATAAAATTAAACAGATTAGATTAGACAGAATCATCCAATTCACACACTCATTCTGTCATAAATACTGGACACAGTTCACAAACTCTACAATTGCCTGGGACATAAAAACAGTTGGTTAAGATAATGTTAGACCAGCAGCTTATCATCACATTTGTGACAATGCTCTATCAGATCAAATAAATCTCTGGTCATGTGACCACGCTCTATAAGATCAGCACAGTCTCATTATGTGTCCATGTTCTATAAGATCAACTCAATCTCATTATGTGACCATGTTCTATAGCAGTAACATTGGTTCTCAAAATTTTCCGAGCATCCTCCCCTTGTGGCCATTCATAAACTCATCCCGAGTGCCCTCGTCTGACAAGATTTGAAGCTAAATCAAAATAATACGTTGCACCATCGTCATTTGAAGATATTTTCACAATCTTATGTAAATGTGACATACATGATATTTTATGAAAATACTACGACAATTTTGTTTTTACTTTAACAAAAAAAATGATAATAATCTCATTAATGGCAATGGTACCTTTAAAAACATCAACTTTTCTCTAGTTAATGTGTGACAATGAGCCCTGATAATGGCCATGGAAAGGCAGCCCTTTTAGAAATATCAACTTTTCTCTAGTTAATATGTGACAATGAGGCCTGATAATGGCCATAGTACGGCAGCCCTTTTAGAAATATCAACTTTTCTCTAGTTAATATGTGACAATGAGCCCTGATAATGGCCATAGTACGGCAGCCCTTTTAGAAATATCAACTTTTCTCTAGTTATTATGTGACAATGAGCCCTGATAAGGGCCATAGTACCGCAGCCCTTTTAGAAATATCAACTTTTCTCTAGTTAATATGTGACAGTGAGGCCTGATAATGGCCATAGTACGGCAGCCCTTTTAGAAATATCAACTTTTCTCTAGTTAATATGTGACAATGAGTCCTGATAATGGCCATAGTACGGCAGCCCTTTTAGAAATATCAACTTTTCTCTAGTTAATATGTGACAATGAGGCCTGATAAGGGCCATAGTACCGCAGCCCTTTTAGAAATATCAACTTTTCTCTAGTTAATATGTGACAATGAGCCCTGATAATGGCCATAGTACGGCAGCCCTTTTAGAAATATCAACTTTCTCTGGTTCATATGTGACAATGAGTCCTGATAATGGCCATAGTACGGCAGCCCTTTTAGAAATATCAACTTTTCTCTAGTTATTATGTGACAATGAGCCCTGATAAGGGCCATAGTACCGCAGCCCTTTTAGAAATATCAACTTTTCTCTAGTTAATATGTGACAATGAGCCCTGATAATGGCCATAGTACGGCAGCCCTTTTAGAAATATCAACTTTCTCTGGTTCATATGTGACAATGAGTCCTGATAATGGCCATAGTACGGCAGCCCTTTTAGAAATATCAACTTTTCTCTAGTTATTATGTGACAATGAGCCCTGATAAGGGCCATAGTACCGCAGCCCTTTTAGAAATATCAACTTTTCTCTAGTTAATATGTGACAGTGAGGCCTGATAATGGCCATAGTACGGCAGCCCTTTTAGAAATATCAACTTTTCTCTAGTTAATATGTGACAATGAGTCCTGATAATGGCCATAGTACGGCAGCCCTTTTAGAAATATCAACTTTTCTCTAGTTAATATGTGACAATGAGTCCTGATAATGGCCATAGTACGGCAGCCCTTTTAGAAATATCAACTTTTCTCTAGTTAATATGTGACAGTGAGGCCTGATAATGGCCATAGTACTGCAGCCCTTTTAGAAATATCAACTTTTCTCTAGTTAATATGTGACAGTGAGGCCTGATAATGGCCATAGTACGGCAGCCCTTTTAGAAATATCAACTTTTCTCTAGTTAATATGTGACAGTGAGGCCTGATAATGGCCATAGTACGGCAGCCCTTTTAGAAATATCAACTTTTCTCTAGTTAATATGTGACAATGAGGCCTGATAATGGCCATAGTACGGCAGCCCTTTTAGAAATATCAACTTTTCTCTAGTTAATATGTGACAATGAGCCCTGATAATGGCTATAGTACTGCAGCCCTTTTAGAAATATCAACTTTTCTCTAGTTAATATGTGACAGTGAGGCCTGATAATGGCCATAGTACTGCAGCCCTTTTAGAAATATCAACTTTTCTCTAGTTAATATGTGACAGTGAGGCCTGATAATGGCCATAGTACTGCAGCCCTTTTAGAAATATCAACTTTTCTCTAGTTAATATGTGACAGTGAGGCCTGATAATGGCCATAGTACGGCAGCCCTTTTAGAAATATCAACTTTTCTCTAGTTAATATGTGACAATGAGGCCTGATAATGGCCATAGTACGGCAGCCCTTTTAGAAATATTAACTTTTCTCTAGTTAATATGTGACAGTGAGGCCTGATTATGGCCATAGTACGGCAGCCCTTTTAGAAATATCAACTTTTCTCTAGTTAATATTATTTATTTATTTATTTAGGCATTTTTATATAGCGCTTATCATAAAGCTCTAAGCGCTTTACAATTATTAAAACATGTAAACTAAGTAAATACAAATGAGACACTAGGACAGTGACAGTGAGACCTGGTACAGTGATGGCAGTTTGTAAATTTTTCATGTAGTTAAAAAAAAAGGAAAATAACTTTTAAAAATGACTTTCTTTTGAAGATGAGTTGGTGTCAGCTCATCCAGTTGTTATCCAAACTCTTTTGACTTCTGTTTTGTCAGCTCATCCAATTGTTATCCAATCTCTGTTGACTTCTGTTATGTCAGCTCATCCAGTTGTTATCTAAACTCTGTTGACTTCTGTTATGTCAGCTCATCCAGTTGTTATCTAAACTCTGTTGACTTCTGTTATGTCAGCTCATCCAGTTGTTATCTAAACTCTGTTGACTTCTGCTACGTAAGCTCATCCAGTTGTTATCTATACTCTGTTGACTTCTGCTACGTAAGCTCATCCAGTTGTTATCCAAACTCTGTTGACTTCTGTTATGTAAGCTTATCCAGTTGCATCATATGATACACCCAAACCATCAATATTTATTCTAAAATAAGACAAATTTATCATTATTTTTTATACAAATTTAAAAACTCCCGACTATCTGGAAATCTTCCTTACTAGAAGGCCCATTTTCCTGGATTTCACGACCGGGAAAATTACTCAATCAATTCCAGACTATTTCCTGTTTTCCCGACTGTGTGGGGACCCCTGAATCCGGGTACTAAGTGTTGTAAGCTCACAGAGTTTAGATCTGCATCAAATGAAGTGTTGAAGCCCGCTGGGGGCCTCCATTTGGAAGTTGGACCAAAGAACATTTTGTTTTGGCCTGATGTGAGATTTAAATAGACACATTTAAGCGCCTGTTCATCATGGACTCTAATTTAAAGTCCAATTTGATGCTGACAAACTAAGAGTTGATCATTTAAAAAAAAAAAAATAATATTAATTATAAGCTTATCACATTCCAGTGGTCCCCTTTCTGTGTCCCGGCACCCTCCAAAATATCCATACCCTTTCAGTCACCCCCCCCCCCCAACCCCAGGCTATTCCAGCACCTACTTTGAGAACTACTGTTCTATAGGATCAACTCAATCCCATCATGAGCCATGAGCCATGCTAAAGAAATGAGATCAAAACTTGTTCAAAAACTTACCAAAGTTGAGCTTTCCATGTTTTCCAGCTGATTCATTTGAACTTCAAGGTCAAATACAGGCAGTCCAAATTCACGGTTTGTCTAAACAGATCATGCAAATTGAATTAAATATACTTTAGACCAAAATGAAGACTCTCAAAATTGTGGGAAAGTATTTCTTTAACGTCATATTTAGTGTGATGGGAGATGCTCAGCAGTGCATGGTATGAGTCAAATACTATTCTTTTAATATTAATTCTACCATGGCTGTGATCAATCAAAGTAATTAAAAAATATCAGGGGATCATTGAAACATCACATGACACACTTGTGTAAATAATGGCCACATAATCTAACTCACCTGGTGACAGATGAGCTTCTGTCTTAAGTTGTGCTAGGTCAGTTCTGTCTGACAATGGCCACATATTCTAACCCACCTGGTTACAGGTAGCTTACGTCTAAGTCGTGCTAGGTCAGTTCCGTGTGACAATGGCCACAAAATCTAACCCACCTGGTTACAGATGAGCTTCTGTCTTAAGTCGTGCTAGGTCAGTTCTGTCTGAGAATGGACACAAAATCTAACCCACCTGGTTACAGATGAGCTTCTGTCTTAAGTCGTGCTAGGTCAGTTCTGTCTGAGAATGGACACAAAATCTAACCCACCTGGTTACAGATGAGCTTCTGTCTTAAGTCGTCGTACGTCAGTTCTGTCTGACAATGGCCACATATTCTAACCCACCTGGTTACAGATAGCTTACGTCTAAGTCATGCTAGGTCAGTTCCCTGTGACAATGGCCACAAAATCTAACCCACCTGGTTACAGATGAGCTTCTGTCTTAAGTCGTGCTAGGTCAGTCTGTCTGAGAATGGCCACAAAATCTAACCCACCTGGTTACAGATGAGCTTCTGTCTTAAGTCGTGCTAGGTCAGTTCTGTCTGACAATGGCCACATATTCTAACCCACCTGGTTACAGATGAGCTTCTATCTTAAGTCGTGCTAGGTCAGCTCTGTCTGAGAATGGCCACAAAATCTAACCTACCTGGTTACAGATGAGCTTCTGTCTTAAGTCATGCTAGGTCAGTTCTGTCTGAGAATGGCCACAAAATCTAACCCACCTGGTTACAGATGAGCTTCTGTCTTAAGTCGTGCTAGGTCAGTCCTGTCTGAGAATGGCCACAAAATCTAACCCACCTGGTTACAGATGAGCTTCCGTCTAAGTTGTGCTAGGTCAGTTCTAAGTGTTTCCTTTGAAGCTAAAATATTCAATTTTTGAAGAAGTTCTCCTTCCTCAAAAACGCTGATTCTCTTTAATCTAGTAAACGATAAACAGGATAAGAATATAATATTTCAACTAGTTAACAACAGACAACACAATTTTATAATATTTCAAATAATCAATAAACGGCATAGGTTACTTTAACTTATCACTCTGACTACCTGGGCGGAGGACTAGGAGGAAGTGAGTCATCAATCCTCCTCCGTTTACGAGGTCTTCCTTTAGCTTGGCTCTTGGCCGACATGTAGTCGTCACCCGGCGACATCGGAGAGTCAACTTCTTTTTTTATTCTGTCACTCTTCCCACTTTCAGAGTCGCCGGCGTCACCGTCGTCTTGGCTGTCAGAGCTTTCGGCCTCATCAATGTTATTCTCACTGGGTCCCTCAGACTCGGTGTCCGACGTGACCTCTTTCTTCGGCTCAACGGGAGGCACCTGCTCGGTGATGGGAGCCTTGCCGGACATCTCGAAACAGTTTGTGTCTGATTACACCAGATAAAGAATTATTCCCACACAAATGGAACATGAAGCAAAACTTAAATAACACTATAAAAGCAGTGCAGTAATATTCTCTATTTATAATACCATTGCAAATGTGTTTGGTGTGTGGGGTTTATCGTTGAAATGGTCTCTATAAGTTATAAGAAAATAATTCTTCAGTAACAAAAAGTTTGTGTACTAAAGACGTGCACCTGTGAAGGAGGAGCTGAATGCTAGAGTGTGAGATGATTGTGAATGGGTCCGAAAAGGTTTTGATTGCGAATAAGTCAGAAAATGTTTTTGATGGCAAATGTGTCAGAAAAAAAGTATCGATTGTGAGAAAATTTTGTCCAATGAAGTACCTGATCTCAAGTCGAAGATATCAACGAGATTTGGAGAGGAAGGTCGCACGTCTAGTGATCCTATGTCGATGTCCAGATCTTCATGACCATCAATGTCCACTTCTATACCACTTAGAAAATCATCTGGCATGAAATGGGACATATTTAACAAAACTAAAATCAACTTATCACAGCAGTAAATCTCAGACAGGGGCAGTGGAACATAAGATTACAATGGTCCCACAAGCTCTGACAAGGGCAGTGGGGCATATGGTTATGATGGTCCCACAAGCTCTGACAACGACAGTGGGGCATATGGTTGCAAAAACACTTTTTACGCATCTTTCACAAAAAATGTAAAAAAAAACCTGTCATATTTATAGATTCTTTTTAAAAAAAATTTGTATTTTATTTCAGAATTAAACACCAAGGGGCCATCCATAAACGACGTCCACCAATTTTTTGCTATTTTTTACCCCCCCCCTCCCCATTTGTCCACTTTTGACTTGAACCCCCCCCCCCCGTTGTGGACGTCCAAAACATAAAATTTACCGAACTTAAATTAATGAATAATTTGGGAAAATGTACAACAATATAAAGAGTATATATTTACAAAGATTTTTTTTAGAAATTCCAATTATTTGCAGGCAAAATTCTAAATGAAATAATAACTGTTCAAAAAGATTTAATGAATCACTGTATTAAAAGATGTATAAACAAATAATCCACCATTCTTCAATCAACGGAAAATTCTGACTGCAGCCATTCAAACATGTTTCGTATAATGACAACATTTGTTCTTGAGTCTTCAATTGCTAATTCAATTTGAGTGGCAGTCTCTTCATCTGATTCGTCTGCCATATTATGCTCACTAGCAGGAATATTGCAATGGACGACCTTATGTTTTTTCATTGCCGCCTGTGATGGGAAATATTTACCGCAGAAACATATTCTCTTGGAAATTCTCCCAGCCACCGATGGACAATAGAGATCAAAAGGCATGCTACTGTAACTGTGATCGGGCTCCAGACCAATCAGTGCAAGCCTCTGGAACAGTGATCCATAAGTACCACTACTACTACCAATAGCTGCAGCCATGACGCCTGCTTCATGACTAATAAAAGGTACCGGAGCTGGAATGAAGCGTTTGGGAAATAGTTCATTACAGTTGGTTCGTCTTGCTCCACAGCATGTTACATCATTACATTTGATGATCTGCAGAGAATATTGAGACTGTTGCACATGATTCCAACACCAATTCACAGAGGGAGACGGAAGATTTGTGCTTGTGCTGCTTGGTTCAACATACTGTGCGTGCACATTATAGCCATCAATGACAGCCTGACCCCTAACTTCAGCGAGTATTTCCCCTGCCTTTTTAAAGTTTGCTTTTTCAAAGTTTTGGTCTATAGTTTTACCATTTGCGTCCAAGTGGGATCCAAAATGATCATGGGGAAGAATGAGGCCTGACAGGTCATGAGACAAAGGGGCCATTCGTCGTTCTACCGCATTGTAGGCACTGTGACCCGGAGCATTACACGCTATAAAGAAAGCATCAAGATTGTGCTTGGTAAACAATTTATACGCAGCATTCAATGTTTTTGGATAACGTGGGTTCTCGTATGGGCCTCCGTCAACGGTAATAATTGCTATAGGCTTTACTAGTCCACCATTTGTACATGCCACATTCTTGAAAATATCAAGAGAGACAAGTACATCAAAATCTGCAACATGTGATGCAGCAGTACTGGAATCATGTTTACCACTCCTTATTGATATGGATGTTGGTCCGGAATAGGTCACACGACCATCCTTGATAATACATGCAGCATAAACTGAAATTTGTTTTTTAGATTAAGATTGTATTTTTAAATTTAAATATATTTTTACATTTTTTAGGAAAATAATTTGTTGTCCTATATCTAATTTTTTAATAAAAAATAAAGTCAAATTCAAATATTCCAGTCATTTTTAACCCCAACACAAAATAAAAATCATTAAAGATTTTCTGGAAAAACTCTAAGAATTAAACAAAACTGTTATTTGAGATTTTATTGTATTTGACAAATCAAACTTTAACAACATATTTTTAAAATAATATTCAAGCATATTAATTATTAATATTGAAAAAATCGTTTCTAAATTTAACCACTCAGTTTGTGAAAGATTTGTTTGGGTTTTCATCCCAACTCTTTTGTCATTAAACTAGAAGTTTTTAGCAGTAAATTTATGCAAAACCGCTGCACTCAAAAAAACACTACAATGTGGACATCCACTTTGTCCTAAACCCCCTCCCCCCCCCCCTTTTGTCCACTTTAGTCCACTTTTTGCTGAACCCCCCCTCCCCCCTTTTGTGTGGACGTCTTTTATGGATGACCCCCAATATATCTTAATTAAAGTATTTCTTCTATATTTTTTTTCTCTTTCTCACAATGTTGTTTGTGTAATAAAAATATTGTTAAAATGTTAAAATCATTTTCACACTTCAATCATGATTGAAAACACACAATCATTTTTCAAGCACTTTTTATAAAACTTGAATCCCCATTCATTTGTGAACAATTAAATACACAACATGATGGGTATTAATTAGCTACTCTTTGCATGATATCTCATTATGTGAAGTGACCTAAAAAAATAATTAAAAAAAAAAAACATTGGCCTACACAGAGTTAAGTCATTGACATGCCCATGTCTCTAATAAGATGGCTTTACTTACAATCAAGCATGGGTATTTAGGTAATAAATGCTTTCCACCGCCATAAGTTGGTGACAGATTTTTATTGCAATTGTGACTTAGTGTCCATAGTCTGCCTTTGTGGAACATGCATTTCATTTGGCAGTTGTGAGAGAACTTCGTGAATGAAGGTTGCATCATATTCTGCTGTTTATAGCGAGCTGCGTTATACATGTGTTTGATTCATTGTACAGCCTGATGTACATTGTTCTGGATTAAAATTGACATTGCAATTGGAAAAGGGATGTGTGTTCCATTCGGTGTGATTACGACGTAAGAACATGTAAAAGAATTGAAATTCCAATCAAGAAAACCTGTCATACATGGATTGAGACACTTACCATTATCCCATTGAATTACTTGAGAGTCCTTCATGGAACTTTTCAACGATGAAGATAAAGAGGATGAGGTGGCCAGCGACAGGTCTGATGAGGCTAAACTGTTGCTGTCTTGATCAGATAGGTAGGTCGGTGCACAGCTCTCTGCCGAGCAGGTCAGATCAAAGTTTGTGGGACTGTCAGCTGATCTGCTCTGATTCTTTTTCTTCTTTGGCTTGTCAGTCTGGTCCGCAAAGAGGTCGGATGCTTCTCGAAGGGTGGTCAATTTTTCCTCTGTCTCCAAACGTTTTTGTTTCTTCATGTCCTTATTATTCTGCAATGTAAGACAGCACATATGAGACAGCACGAGTGTGAGACAGCAAATATTCAATAATCTTGTTCATGCCAGCTGTTACACATATCTAACACTTTGAACTCCACACTTTTTTAAAGGTCCATTATTTATAAAAATGACAACAACAAAAAAAGGTTCAAATGATCCACACCTTGAGGAAAGATTTCTTTTCCTTCAGCTGTATGGCAGCTGCAAGAGCATTTTCCCGCACCCTTCTGCACGTTCTGTTCTCTGGTGTCAGTTCTAATTGAGCTTCAATTGAAATCTTTTTCTTGCTATTGTTTCTCTTCTCTGTGTCAGGGAATTAAATCAAACAGTCTTTTGAGAAATCATGTTCAAATTATAAAAATCATGTTCAAATTATAAAATTCATGTCCAAATTATAAGAATTGTGTCCAAATTACAGAAATCATGTCCAAATTATAGAAATCATGTTAAATAATAGACATCATGTTTAATGATAGAAATCATTTAAAATTTGAATTTTCTTTTATTTTGACTAATGTAAGATCTCTGCATTACTTTCTGGGCGTGGCATTGGTGGATCAAGGGCCGCCAGCTTCCAGTAGCCTTGATCTACAACCTTTGTACCAGAAGTAAAAAACTGTGGGCAGCCTGAAGACAAAGTTCCTGCAATAGTTCCCATCCAGAGGGTCGTCTTTTTCCTGGTGAAGACATTCAATGAATTATAGACTATTTGCTAATAATTCAATAGATTTAATGAAGATATTAAAATAATTACAGACTATTTGCTATTGAAATAATAGATTTAATGAAGACATTCAATGAATTACAGACTATTTGCTATTGATGTAATAGATTTAATGAAGACATTAAATTAATTACAGAATATTTGCTATTGATGTACTAGATATAATGAAGACTTTCATATTAACTACAGACCTATTGATGTACTAGATTTAATGAAGACTTTCATATTAACTACAGACCTATTGATGTAATAGATTTAATGAAGACATTCAAAAGAATTATAGCCATTATTTGCATCATGTGAAGCTACAAGTTATTTTACACAAAATGAAGAGGTACACAAAGCTCTGATATACACAAACCTCTGATGTCCAAAGAACATAGTCCAGTGTGCCTCAATAAATGCACAAATGTGACCTTTCCAATGAAAATACCCACATCTGCCTTGGCCCATCTTCTGAAGGTTGTACAGCGTCAACATCACAACATTGTGCCTGAAAGTACAGCGTCAGTATTACTTGTCTCCTTACCATTACATATTACTTGTCTACTTACCAAGACATTATTATTTGTCTGCTTACCATGATATATTGCTTCGCTGGAATTCTTCCTTTCCTTCATCACCACAGGACTGACACTTAAAAGTGAAAAATGTGTCATCAAGAAGAGATGATGGCTGTAAGCTGTGAATGCAACCTGTAGTTTGAATTGAAACAATAGTTCTCATAGGAGATCCTTTACTGATAGAGAAAAATACCACTGTAAATATTCAACAATAGAGCAGTCAGTGATGCCCTTAAGTGACACAATAGTTCATTTTATACCCCTTTTAGGCATTAACAGAATTAGTGGGAACTTAGATATCTTCACCCCTATTGGCTTAGACTAATTGGAATAAGAGATTACTGGCAAGGTGTTGCAACAGATGCCAATCATAAAAGGCCCTGATGAAAAATGGTTCTCAAGCAATGTAATTTGAAAATAAATATAATATAAGCTGCCCCTGAACCACCCTTTCCAACTTTGAAACCAAGCCCTTTGGGTGCATCCCTTGTAAGACTTGTCCTTATGCCATCAAAACTCTACAGTTTAACTTCCCTTAGATTGTTTCACATGTAGTTATTATGTCCCCTATGATATCATTTTTTTTTTATATCAGGGACGCTCACCATAGTGTACCCTTTTACCACAAGCAAGACATTTATAATGTAAGACTTGTTCCCAGTTCAGTTCATCCCTGCTGCAGTAGCAGGGGGCACAACCAACATTTGATGAATCCTCTGCTTCCATTAGTCGCTCTTAATCAAATCAACAATAGTTTTTATCAGACATTTAACTGAAATACATCGATTAAGAATACATTAAAAAAAATGAAGCAACAAGAATAAAGCGTTTCAGCTGTAAAATAATATTACATGCTCTAGTGTTGGTAAAATGTCAAAATTTTAAAAGATATTTAAAGCCTGACACATGGCAGACCAGCAAAACATGTCTCATCCAATCATCCGATAATTGATTAGGGTTTGGCATCTTAATAACTTACAGAGTACTCTAACTTCTAGCATGATAAATTAAAATAATGAATATAAATAACACATGACAATTTAAAAAAAAAAGGAAACCATCACCATCATGTTACCAAGCCCAAAATTTTAAATTTTAGAATTCAGTAATTTTAAATATTAATATCGACCTTAAGTCACCTTACCCCCTTGCCTTAGTCGCTCTCAGTCATTAATCTTAAATCTTAAACTTAGATACTTCGGTAAACCAAGGGAGGCTACTACTTTTTGTGTATCGGAAATGGCAATCGGCGCCGAAAAATCCGAGTTTTTAATTTTCCGATGTGTGTGTCTATTTATTATTAAATGAGTGCTTTCTATATATATTTGAGTTCCGTTTCCGGCCTTATAATTAGGTAGACATGTTGGCCTACATTTACATTGCTTTTTTAAAAAATTTTCAATCGACCTGTATTTTGAGATTCCCCTGTAAATATAAGGCATCTTTCACTATAAAATTCGTATAGAAGTTCAACTTTTATGTCTTTAAAAAAAAGTCTTATTCTGTATTATCTATCGATGTGTATTTGTGTCAATTCTCATTGAGTTAGGACATGTCGATCACTTGTTATGCTCACTTGAGTGAACCCCTATATGGTAATGTAGCTCAGCCCAATTTCGATAAGGAAGTGGCCACGCCCCCTTTCAGTGGCGGAAGACGCCGTTACTTAGGAAATATTTAATTATTTCCACTATTTACATCAAAATATTTGATAACTTATGTTTTAGAATGAATTTAAATGTTATTGAAAGAATAATATTTTAATTTGAGGTTAAAAAACCCGGTAGAGTCCATATTATACATGATCAAAATTCGCTGTGTGCAAAATGTCATGGCAGCCATTCACAGTGACTTGCATAAGGGCTATTATTTACTACTATCTCAGAGATTTCATTCATAAAAGTTTGCCGTGTGCAAAAACTATTCAACTAGGTCAGGGAAAGCTTGAATTAATTAGTCATGTAACAAAGTTGAAAGTTCAATAGTTCCCAAACAGTATTTTCGTAATTAGGGCATGAGTTGCCTTATATAGACTATATAGCAAATATTGGTATAATGGACGTCTTAGATTTGGTAAACAGAAAAGCCATTAAATATATTAATACGTTATATTAAATTTACTGATAGAAATAATGCATAGTTAGATAAGCTACAATTTATCTATAATTGTTAACATTATTAAACTTATTTTTTTAATACAGCATTAGTTCTGAAAATAAAATTATCATTAAAACAAGAGTTATATAGCTCGTGACGCGAACAGCGGAATTGGGTCACAGAATGTGGAGATGCGGTCCATGTTAAAAAAGGACAAATTAAGTCGTACTTTAAAAATTCATAACTTTAAAACTACAACCAGCTAAAAATATGATTTTGGTGTTATAATTCTTTTAAAAATTAGCTCTATTCAACTATGTCATTGGTTTATTTTTTTTTAAAGTTTTAATTTTGTTATCAAAGTATCTACTTAAACTTGACTTAGACTTCTTACTTAAATTTAAGTCTTAAGTAAACTAAAGTTGAAAGTAGTCTACTTTTTTTTCTTAATCAATATTAAAAAAAAAAAGAGTAGTAGGAATTTATTTTAGTAGCCGACACTGAAATGCTAGATTACCACAGGAGCTGCAAAACAATTGACAAATAGTATGAGGCCTATACCTTCATGCCTAATGAGAAGGCTAATGCCAAGTGGTTTTATTTGAAGATTTCGGCTTTCAGAGTTGTGGTTTATGATTTGCATTTTTAAGTTACACCCTATAAATTGTAAAACAAAGCTTTAGAAGCAACGAATCAATTATCAATAACATTAACAGAGAAAGTGGACTAATGAGATAATTAGCAACATGGTCAACGTGTTGTATTAATGGCCTGTGTAAATTCTGTTATTAACCCAATAAATGTTTAAAAGTTTTTAAAAATTTTTAAAATTAAGTATTTTGGAACTGGAAGAAGATTATATTTTATAAATTTATATAAAGCTTATTATTGTCGTGGGGATATAGCTCAGTGGTAGAGCATTCGACTGCAGATCGAGAGGTCCCCGGTTCAAACCCGGGTGTCCCCTTATTTTTTTTTTTAATGGTTCACTTGTCAAACGTTTTTTGTTTACCATTTTCCAGGTTTTCCCCTACTTTGTGCTACAACATCCATCAAACCATGCATTATGTTTGAAAGTACATCTTGTATAACCTGTATGTTTTTTTACGTTTTCTGTTCTTGAACCGATAAACGATCCTGATGTCCACCGCCCATAGGTTGCCTTGTAAAATTTCTGGGGTGGGTGGGTGATAATACCTTTGTTTTTTGCTTACATGCTGTTTTTTTATTTCATTTATGTATTTTATTTTAATATCATGATTATGTCTCTTTGTTTATATTTTTATGTACAGCGCGGTGAACCCAGTCCTAGGCTGGGGTACCGCGCTATACAAGACCAATTATTATTATTATTATTATTATTATTATTATTATTATTATTATTATTATTATTGAATCTCATGATTAATTATATTACTTAATAAAAGAGAAAATGTTTTCTTTATAAATGCCTTCCTCTATCGTGGTCATAACCAGTGGCGTCATTTCAGTTTTTTCCAGAAAAGGGAGGGAGTGGGGGGGGGGGAGGGGCAAAACCAAAAATTGTTCAGCTTATTAAGCTGGAGGCGGCGGCACAGTACACAGCTATTAAAATAAAACCTGCAAATTCAAATGCCCCACCCTGCCCTACCCAAATGACGTCCCTGATTATAACATTTTAACTTAGTTTTTTTTTAAAAAAAATGTTTTTGTTGCGCTCTCTACAGTTCACTGAAGCAGGTTACTTGCCAAAAAGTTCGTTGTTTTGTTGCGTCATTCTCCCCCAGGATTTCCCGTACCCGGTACAATGTTGTACACAGTATTTCCTATTCATTTTGATCAAGTGATGTATGGGATTTGTCAAGTGGTAGCAGTTTTTCAATAGGAACTTGAACCATTACAACTACTTTCCATTTAGTGTTGCATTACCAATATACTAGGGTATAGGGTAATATATGCGAAGTACTGCATTCAAGCCACATGGAGAAAAAAAAGTAGTAGGACAAGATAACTAGGATGTGAGGGGGCAGCAACAGAGGCGTAGCGTGGTGGGGGCAGGGGGGGCAGATGTCCCCGGGCGCCAGCTAGTTAGGGGCGCCAAAATGTGCTTTGATATTATTTTATTGATGAAAATAATGGGTTTGAGAGTTGAAAAAAGAGAAAAAGGGGCGCTAAAAATGGATCTTGTCCCCGGGCGCGAATCTTGTCCCCGGGCGCGAATCTTGTCCCCGGGCGCGAATCTTGTCCCCGGGCGCCAAACACCCTCGCTACGCCACTGGGCAGCAATATAATAAAACAAAAGGGAATACCCACCAAATGTGGTGAAACAATTGTTTCATGGTACAACTTTTAAATGTCAACTGCGCCCCTTTAGTTTTAACCGCCGAACTTTACGGACCAGTATCGTCAATGGATTAACAGTTTGTAAGTTTTTTTTTTTTTTTTTTTTTATAAAGACCCCCCTCAAGTAATAAATTATGTAACGCCTTTTGGGCCGGACTGTTCTGTTAGACCAGGGGTTCTTAACCTTCCTAACTTTACTGTCCCGTTTCGTCAATGGATTAACAGTTTGTAAGTTTTTTTTTTTTTTTTTTTTATAAAGACCCCCCTCAAGTAATAAATTATGTAACGCCTTATGGGCCGGACTGTTCTGTTAGACCAGGGGTTCTCAACCTTCCTAATGCCGCGACCCTTTATAACAGCTCCTCATGTTGTGGTGACCCCCTAACCACAAAATTATTATCACTGCTGCGCCATAATGTCAATATGATTGAGGGCAAAGCCGGTTGTATCAACTAGTCTACTATATAAAGTTCAGTGTCACTATGTTCGTTTGTAAATGGGTCGATCAAAACTCTAGCCATTACTCTAGTTATTACTCTAGTTATCACTCTAGCTGTTACTCTAGCTATTACGCTAGCCGTTACTCTAGCCATTACTCTAGCTATTACTCTGGCTATTACTCTAGCTATTACTCTAGCTATTACTCTAGCTATTACTCTAGCCCTGCCCTTGCTCTTTACAGCATGGGTGCAAATTACATCAGAATTTATGTAAACATTTGAAAACAAACGTAATGTCTATGTTTAATTCATAGCACCACAGTTAGGGGAAAGGGTAAAATATGATACTTGCTTTCAATATTCGAGTTTTCTGATATCCAATATTGTCTTTTTTAAAATAAAAAAAAATTTACAAATCAATAAAACTAAATTCAAGCCTTTAGGATTGTGAGGCACACAATCACGTCAAAAAGCAACCACAAGAAAGGTTATCGGAGAATCCGCCTCTGGACGACCGCCTCCTAGCGGCGTGTCATGTCCGGGCGCGAGGTGTTCTATCCATTGTTCAAAACATGTTCACGTGTTGATAAGTTCAAACATTCAACACCTGGCTTATGAGTAGGAGTCTTATTGGTTTCACTTTTCTAGCGTTTCTCGAAGAGAAATAAAATTGTCCCTCTTTCAAGAAGGGACACCACTTTTTCAAAGGGAGACAAATCGATTCTGTCCACGTATGGTTAGATCCCAGTTTTCAGTGTTGGTGGAAATCCATAGAGGGCAACCCTCTAGCCAATAAATACGTGCGAGGAATGTAGCACTGAAGTAATGCGAAATAGTTTTCCCCGATATAAAAATAAATAAATAAATAAATGTGTAGGCCGTCTGTATAGTTCAAATACAAAGACTTTATAAAAATGTTTTATAATAATAGAAATGCTCAACATGAAAGATCCTACATTTTTTTGTACTAATAAAGAGACACCAGCTTCAAACGAAGCCACTATTATTGCAGCCCCACTCAGCCAGCTCAGCCACAGGCATGTTCAATTTCGCCTGAAACGGTTTCCATTGTGATCAAATAATGGCTGTGTCGTCAGAACAAATAATGGCTGTGTCGTCAGATGTCCATTTCACGTCCTAATTGGACTTCTCCGTGTTATTGTTAACTTCGGACAGAAGGATGCGGGACGGCCTAGGCAGTGGCGTAGATGACAGGGACACAAAGGCGTAGCTGCAAGGGTCAAAGGGGCGTAGCTGACAGGAACACACAAGCGTTCCTCAATGGGAACGCAGTTATGGAGCTGACCGGGACACCGGTGGCGGAGCTGACCGGGACACCAGTGGCGGAGCTGATAGGGACACAATGCGGTTCCGGATTGGGACGCAGTTACATAGCTGACATGGACACAGCGGCGTAGCTGACAGGGACACAGTAGTCGTCTAATGGTCAAGGTAGTAAGACTAATGGTCAAGGTAGTAAGACTAATGGTCAAGGTAGTAAGACTGATGTTCAAGGTAGTAAAACTAATGGTCAAGGTAGTAAGACTAATGGTCAAGGTAGATTTGGCGCAACCCGGTGCTTACAACACTGACACACAAAGATACACACAAACACACACACACACACACTCACACACATACACGTAAACAAAAGTTCAATATTTCCATAAAGGAATCTAAATTCGAACGGTCGAACCTATCATTTCTGCAGGACCGGCGCAAGGTTGTGGCTAGCGGGGTGACCGCCCAAGACCCCACGCCTCTGAGAGCCCCGCTCCAAGCCTTTATAATTATATACATTACTAGGGCTTAACCGGGTGCAGTTTGTTTACTCCAGGTCTGGAAAAACCCGGTGGGTCCAAATGTTACAAAAAAAGTTTACTTCTCATTTTCTATAATAACTGCCAGCCTTTAAAATAATAGGCCTACACACAGCCCTACACTCTACCTGCCGGCCTTTAAAACAATAGGCCTACAGACAGCCCTACACTCTAACTGCCGGCCTTTAAAACAATAGGCCTACAGACAGCCCTACACTCTAACTGCCGGCCTTTAAAACAATAGGCCTACAGACAGCCCTACACTCTACCTGCCGGCCTTTAAAACAATAGGTCCACAGACAGCCCTACCCTCTAACTGCCGGGCTTTAAAACAATAGGTCTACAGACAGCCCTACACTCTAACTGCCGGCCTTTAAAACAATAGGTCTACAGACAGCCCTACACTCTAACTGCCGGCCTTTAAAACAATAGGCCTACAGACAGCCCTACACTCTAACTGGCGGCCTTTAAAACAATAGGTCTACAGACAGCCCTACACACTACCTGCCGGCCTTTAAAACAATAGGCCTACAGACAGCCCTACACTCTAACTTACGGCCTTTAAAACAATAGGCCTACAGACAGCCCTACGCTCTAACTGAGGCCTTTAAAACAATAGGTCTACAGACAGCCCTACACTCTAACTGCCGGCCTTTAAAACAATAGGTCTACAGACAGCCCTACACTCTAACTGCCGGTCTTTAAAACAATAGGCCTACAGACAGCCCTACACTCTAACTGGCGGCCTTTAAAACAATAGGTCTACAGACAGCCCTACACACTACCTGCCGGGCTTTAAAACAATAGGTCTACAGACAGCCCTACACTCTAACTTACGGCCTTTAAAACAATAGGCCTACAGACAGCCCTACACACTAACTGCCGGCCTTTAAATAATAGGCCTACAGACAGCCCTACACACTACCTGCCGGGCTTTAAAACAATAGGTCTACAGACAGCCCTACACTCTAACTGCCGGCCTTTAAAACAATGGGCCTACAGACAGCCCTACACTCTAACTGCCGGCCTTTAAAACAATAGGCCTACAGACAGCCCT